ATCGAAGATGACTATGATGATTTACAGCTTTATCACTACCAGATCCACCAATATTTGCTTGTTGTTGTTTAAGAGTATTCGATGTAGACATAATTGATTGAACGTCTGTATTTGAACGTCCTCTCATTGGTAGGAGTACATCATGATTTACTGGACGACGAGATGATTGAGATGCTGCAGAGGCAGATGTTACAGTTTTTTGCGTTGATCCACTATGTTTCCTTGGTGAATCTAATGTTTTTTTTGTAGAATTTTTTTCGTCCGTTGAATTGTCTTCTTCATATTGTGTTGAAAGATGAGATGAAAGAATGTACGATTTTTGTGGACTACTTGGTAATGATAATGCATTACGTTCAATAGCTCGAGCTACAGGCATTGTTGTTGTATTTGCTGTAGAAATTTATGAATTTTTACTTGTTAGATCACTTGATCAAAATGAAAAAAAAAGAGAAAGGTACGAATAAGAAAGAAAAAAAATATATTAAAAGAAGACTGTTTCTGTTAGGAAGAGAAAGAGAATTGTGAAGCTTCATATTGAAATTGAGCAGAATAACGAAAGCTTTTCTTTTCTCCTGAAATGTCTCGAAAATTATTAAAACGCAATTCGTCGATTAAAATAAAATGTATTGTTAATTTATTCATGAGACCTAAATGACCTCAGACTACGACAACTACATCTCAAAGGAAATTTTAGCTAAATATCTGTTAACAAGCATAGAGTAAATGTTATTCTATTTACCAATTCGTATGGCGATGAATATAATCAGATGATGAAGATACTGATGGCACGATTTAAATAGCTTTTTTCTTTCGTTCTTTGTATTCTGTACTTTGAAATGAAAATCGTAATATTACATGAAACAACTTTGTTCTTGCACATTTTTTTGTTTTTATAATATCCCGAAACATCAAAAAAAGCATTAACTGTGTTAATTCTCCTTTTTTCTTCACCAAGTGTAAATAAATGATGAAGCGTAAACAACAACAAAATTTGTATAAACTCTCAACGACGTAAAAAGAGAGACATGCAAACACACCTACCAACAACATGATGCAAACAAAGCAATCTGAAGCATGATTCATAAACAACAATATTTTAGTTCAAAATACACTCTGTATTTTTAAAATAGAGCCAAACAAATCATTCGTTATGTATTTGCTTTAGATATCTTTTTATAGAATCTATCATAATATTTTTTTAAGCTTTTGAATTGAATGAAATTTTAGATGATTCTAAATATAGCAACGGATGTAGAAAGACGCAATTGTTAATGTTTCATTCTATTACATACACTGTATTTTTCGTCGAAGAAAACAAAAGCTCTCGAGAATCGTATTTCAGTTAGACATGCATACTTTTTAACTCTGATCGAATGTCTATTTTGTTCGAATTGTAATTAGATTAATCGTTATATTATAATGTTATTTATTTTATTTTTGACATAGGCAAAAAACAAAAGAACATACACAAATTTGTATGTGCAAAATGAGAAAAAGACAAACATCATCACGTTAAATTCGGATCAAATATAAAAAAAAAGAAATTTCTTCTTTACTCGTTTTGTTTTTCTTTTCTTTAAGAGGACATAGGTGTGTATGTGTGTACGTATGTGAAAGGAAGAAGATAGATAGGAGAGAGTGCATGTGGAGTGTACAGCATGGACACATTGCGTATTTATTGAGAGCAAAAATAAAAACTTCAAAAGAGAGAAATCAATAACTGCGTTGGCATTAGCTACCCATCGAGTGCACGCAAAAGGGGTAGGAGAAAAAAGAAAAAAACTTAGAACAAATGAGAGGCACTTGTATATTGTCTTTTTTTGTCTTTTTGTTGTTGAGTCCATTTACCGAGGATGATAACGACCAATTGCTTTGAGATTTTCAACAAACATAGCACGTGCTATTTTAGGTCGACGATCGTCACCAGCTACCATTGCAGCTACCTTAATTATTAATTGAATTATAAAGACAAAGAAAAGAAATAGAAAATGCTTTTTTTTTTCTTACAACATCTGAATTAACAAAAATACAGCCAATTTTATTAAGTTCTTTTCGTTTAGCTTCAATTGCATCTTTACTTACACCACGACATGCATCTTCAATTAATACAGTTCGATAATTATTTTCAATAGCATGCGTTGCTGTTGAAGCTAAGATAGGAATCAAAAACAAATATTTTTTTAAATAAAAACACTAAAACATACCAACACAAACATCTGTAGCCATACCAACAACATAAACATCAGTTACAAAACGTTGTTTAAGTTGATCATCAAGACTTGTTTTACTTAATTTCATATTATCCCAAAATGCTGAGTAAGAATCTATTTCAGAATTGGTTCCTTTATAGAGATGTATAGCATTCTTAACCTGGATTAAATCCGGGTGCAAAGCAGCGCCATGTGTATTTTGGATACAATGTGCTGGCCAAAGAACTTGTTCTATTGAATCAGTTAATTTAGAAGAGCCGACAAAAATAACTTTATCATGTACCTTTGCTGCATCAGCACTAATCTGAATAATAAAAACACAAATTATAATAATATTTATTTTTACAAAAATTTTGTTTTGGACATACACGACTTTTAGGTGATATTTTTCTTAAATGACGATTTTCGTAAAAAGATACATGATTTGATGGATGCCAATCATATGTATATACAATAACATCAAAATTAACAGTGCGAATAACTTGATTGATAACAGGGACAACTTCTTCTCCTATAAATAAAAAAAGAAATCATCATAAAATATTTAAGAAAAAAATAGGGATAATTTTGATATAAATAAACCTTGATGATTAGCAGGACAAGAATGAAGAGCTAATGATCCAGAAATAAAATCATTTTGAACATCGATTATCACAAGTGCACTAACAGGTCTTACAGCCTATGAAAACAAAACTAGAAGAGATTCAATAGTTTTACCATTTAGTTACACATTTAATTGGTTTTCTCCATGCTCGTAGAAATTCGTCAAAATCAATTTTTTTATCTTGATTAAAATCAGTTTCATGAAAATATTCATCAATCTGTTCGTTTAATATCAAATGGGGTCCTTTTTTATTAGAAAAGAGTGCATTGAGAAAACGACGAAAATCTCCACGAGTCCAAAAACCTTGTCTAAACAAAAAGAAAGGAAATATTTTTATTTTCTTTCATGTAGATGTTGTAACATTACTTTTGGAAATCAAAATATCTAAAACAATTTTTATATTCTTCATAAGAAAAATTACTTCGTCTTAAAGAATTGAATGGATTGTTATCATCAGGTATATATGACATGGACGATCCTTTAAAAAAACCAATAAAAACAAACATCAATAAAATAAATAATTGAGTAGGCAGATAAAATTGTAAAAAAAAAAAACAAAATCTAAACGAACCTTTGGACCCCATGAATATTTCGAACAAAGAATTGCTAACAGGTCTCAAAATAGAATATTGTTTTTTTTCATTGATATTCGAAAAAAATTCGTTAATAATAATAGAAAGTGAAGTGTCACATAGAATTAAAATTTGTTGAAGAAATATATCAAGAAAAAGACACATTTTGATGAAAAATAAATTTTGTATGCCATTTGTACTTGTAATAGTGCAACGTACGTGTATAAAAACTTTTCTATTATATATCTCCTTGCGGACGCTTGTTTTTTTTCTACTGTTTTTTCTGCCTATTATTGTAAAATATTGAAAAATGCAGTAAATAAACGGAAGAGAATAGTAATAGTTATCGTAGCAAATACGACAAGAAAATAATGTTTATAGTAGCTGACTGGTTGCTATAAAATTGAACGATGCGAAACAATTAATGGCTTAACGATCGGTAGAAAGACAGATCGACATGGAAGAAAAAGGAGCGAACAAGCATAAGAAAAAAAATTATGCTTTACTCTCATGTGGACTGCTCTATTACGTTTTTCCTTCGTTTTTATTTCCTCGTTCACATAACAATCGTATCGTGTTTGTCTTACGCAAGTCTTTTTTTATTGTTATTGTTGGCGGCATTGTGCGACACTGATGACGAGTGATTAACGTAGCTAAATGAGTTGATATAAATATATATAAAGATTTATATTTATGTATGAGAATATTTGCATGAGAGACCATTTCTTTGACTAAAAGCAAAAAAATAAAAAAAAAACAGAAATTTGGCTAATCCAAAAAAAATGATGCTTTCATGTTTCTATTACAAAGTTTATGTGAAAGTCTTTGTTTGGATTGTATTAGTTTTCTTTGTCTTTTTTTTGAATAATAAATTTAAACGATACAGTATAGAACGAAAATAAAATCTTTTTGACAGTAGAAGTTTAAGCCTTCCAGATAAACAATATGAATATAATATGATCAAAAGATAAATCCCAGCTTCGATGATTTAAGATGGCATACCTGTGCAAAGATGATGCGAATGAGAGGTAAAAAAATAACGCTCTCGTTTGAATTGTAATGTTTATTGTGTCATTCACAAAAACATTTATTAAATACTTTTAAAAAAACTCTGAAAAAGAAAAAAAGAAAAAAAGCAACCACCTAATGGTTTTACTATGAGTCCATCAATTTATTAATGCTTTCTTCCAGATATTTTCGATAGTTTTGCTTTTCAATTAGAAAAATTCATCAGATAGCAACACTTTTAAGACTCGAATTCATGTGTACACAAAATTTTACATTGTATGTTCTGTAATATTCGGTTTCAATCTTTAGCAATAAAATAGTTACAAAATATTTGTGCGAAAACAAGAAAAAAAACTTGAATGTTTGATGATTATTGAAAATATAATAAAACAAAAATGTTTCTTTTCTTCTCTTTGTATAATCAATTAATGCCATCTTTCGAATAATGTATAAGCATGTAATGTTTTCCATAATTTACCATTGATCATCTGGTGTTGTTTTCTTTTTTTTTAGGGTTGTTTATTTAAAATCGAACTCTATTGCTGATGCAAGTTTTTTTTAAATTTTAGATCTTTGTCTTTTTTATATTCATCATCAACTGCATAAATGAGTCTTCTGTCAAATTGTCTATTTGTACGGCAAGTACTTAGTCGTACTGGTGTTTTTTCTCAATCAACATTTGTGAATGCGTCGCGTTTATCATCACTATTTAGGTGATTGTTTAATGATTAAATTGAAATTGATTCATTTATTTTTTAATCTATATGTGTTAGTTTAGATATTCATCTACGAATACACCTTCACAAGAACAAAAACAAAATGAAACAACAACAACAACAACAACAACAACATCGTCACCGACTCAAAACGTAGAAAATCAATCTCAAACTGAACAAAAATCGGACGTTGATGTAAAACAACTTCTTGAACAAAATACAAAATTAAATGAAGAAATAAATGAATTTAAGGTAAAATTATTCAAAATGTTACTAAATAGAAATTTATAGAAAACTAATATTCGATGAATATATTACATTTGATTGGTTTGTTTTTTTTAAGTACAACAGATTTTGGTAGTAATTAGGTATTCGCCAAGAATCGAAATGAGAATACTTCTTTTTTCTTTAGTTGGCTTATTTTTTATTATACAAGTATTGAAGATTTAATTGTGTGATATTATATAATTTTTTACTATTTATTTTAAGATTAAATAGAACATTGAAGACGTATTCCTTTGAATTAAGGGATATATCTTTTCTATATATGTATTAGGTGCTAAGACACTTGAGACCTCTGAGTGTCTTCACTTGATTATCAAGGTTTTGACAAAATGTATGCAAATTTGTATAAGAAATCCCAAGCCAGAAGACACATCTTCATTATGAATATAGTTTTCCAAGCGTATGTCTACTTAAAAAATTGATGTTAATTATACATTTGAGTTGTAAGTTTGTATGGCATAAATGACATTAATCAAGGTTTCTGGTAGTCGGTACTATTCATAACAGTTAATTAACATCCGACAGGTATAGAACTTGTTTCCGAACATGACTAAATCGTCTGTTCAAATTTTTCTCTTGATCACACTCGATTACTTTAATATAGACTAGAAAAAATTTCCAAGGTTAATGACGTAGGACGATATTGGTTTTATCTCTGGTTCACATCTTTTACAGCTGTCAAAAAACACCATTTAGTAAAAAAAATGTCTAGTTCTTCATAATCATCTTTCTTCTCCGAGAAACAGTCTTTTTCATAGACATATCACGATTGTATTACTGTTAATAATTTATTTCAAATGTGTTCCTTTTCTTTGATATATTTAATATGAAACCTGTTAGGCAATATATTATTTTTTTAATTAAATTTTTTTTTTCAATTATAGGATCGTTACAAACGTGCACTAGCTGAAACTGAAAATACTCGAGTACGTTTTACTAAACTAGTGAATGATGCAAAAATCTTTGGCATACAAGGCTTTTGTAAAGATTTACTTGAAGTCGCTGATATACTTAATCTAGCATTAGTCAATACACCGAAACAAGTAGCAACAGATATAACAGCCTTAACAAAAGACTTTAATAATCTTCATCAAGGACTTGTAATGACTGAAGAAAGAATGCAAAAAATATTTGCTAAAAATGGTCTTCTACAAATAAAACCAAATGAAGGTGATAAATTCGATCCGAATTTTCATGATGCTTTATTTCAAGCTAAAATTCCCGAAAAATCAAGTGGCACAATTATACAAGTAATGAAAACAGGTTATCGTCTTCATGATCGTGTAATACGAGCTGCACAAGTTGGTGTTGCGCAATAGAAAAAAAAAATGAAAAATCCAAGTAATCAGAAATGATGTGTTATTGTTGTTTTTTTTTGTCATTTAAAATAAAAATGTTTCGTTATGATTACCAACCCACACAAGAAGAAAACAGAACGGAAAGATGAGTAAGATTTTTTCTTTTTCTGTTTTCTAGATATAATAATAATAATAATAATAATATACTTTTACAACGTAACATAAAAAAAATATAACATTACGGTATTTCTATCGTTTCATCAAGTACGTCGAAAAGAATAGGAATACCGACTGCATCGTTCGAGTGAGTCATTTGTTTGAGAAGAAAAAAATAACTTTTTTCATGTTTTTGCTTTTAGCGGCTAGTAACGTCGTCGATCGTGTTTCTACATTCTCCCTTTTATGTTCTTGTCTGATCATGAATTACCTATAACGTGTATTTCAGACCGATTCCCGTAAGTACATTTTTTTTCGAAGGATTTGTTTTTTAACTCTTTTTCTTTCAAAATCTTCTAGCATTTGCTAATCCGGTGATTATTTTTTGCCTTAATCTTTATGGCAGTATGTTTTGGTGGTAAAAAGTCTAAAGTATCACAAACAATAACAAAACGCTTTTCTTCAAATAAAAATAATGATCTCGATCATCAACAAACTTTAAATAACCATCATCGTTCTCATTCCCATATCAATCAACATCAAAAAAATTCTAATATGCCTCACGATCTTTCACGTTCATCTGCTAATTCTGCATCATCATCAGCATTTTCCTATTCATATGGTACACCACAATCACCACCATCATCATCATCGTCATCATCAAATCATACAATGTTTAATAATTATTATCATAAAAATTCAAAAAAATTTGATAAAATGGATATTTCCGATGATGATGATGACGATAACGACGATGATGAATCAACAACAGATGATGATTCAAAACAACAAAAAAAACTTAAACGTACTGTCGAACAATTAACATCAACACAACAAAAACATTCAATTGTTAATGCTGATATGATTTTTTATTGCTTTGAAATCTTAGGCAATTATTTATTTAATGGTAAACATCATTTAGGAAAACATCATTTATCTTCATCAAGTACAAGTAGTCAATTACTTCCATCATCTACTAGTCCACCTGCAGTGCCAGCAGAACCTTATCCATTATTTGTTACATGGCTAATTGGAACAGACAAACAATTACGTGGATGTATTGGTACATTTTCACCAATGAATCTTGCACAAGGTAGATTTATTTTATTTAAATTAAAAACTATAAGATATAGTCAGACATTTTTTTGATGGTATATAGATATACATCCAATGAATAATGATTAATTCTTATAATTAGTTGAAAATGTTTGTTTTATTTTTCTTTGACTTAAATTTCATCTAACTCAATACTTTTGTCCTATTAACCAAGCTATTGGCATAATCCTTGTGGGATTGAAATGTAAAACATGATGTAGTTGCTGTTGATAATCAAAGAAAGATTGTTTTATTCGAGCTATTTTAGAATACTTTTTTTCATCATCATTTTACTTAGTCCTCTAGAAATGCACTAAAAAGAAGTAGTTTCTATTCAATAACGTGCCGTCATTTAGATATGATCTATGATTGTACATCAAGGTTTGTCACGGTTTTTGGGTGCAACAAGGTGTTACTAAAATGTTCGTCACGGTCGATGGCGGAGTTCAAATTTTTACCCTTGTATTTCAACATTCCTTCTATATCAGATTTCATAATATTTACATGAAATGATGATCAATTATTAAGTAGTCTAAATTTATATGAGATTGAAAATAATCAAGAAAGATTTGTTTTCAATAGATCAAAAATTAAAATAGCTTAAGTTTACTTGATTAATAAATTAGACAATAAAAACAGTTATGTAATGTATTATTTTAAATTTAAAGAATCTTTTTGATTAAAACTAAACATAAAATGAAGGATATAGATAAGCCCTTTATATACTTTTTCAAATATTGCAGATATTTTTGCTTCAATCAAGTCTAAAATAGATTCTAAAAACATGCCAACAATTAGTTTATCCACATCCTTTTATGAACTTTTTGAACTGCATGTATTTCATAGCTTAAGTGTCAGAAAACGATTGTTGTTATATCTACTAAAAATATGGATGTCAATCGAAAAATCAATAAAGTATTATCATGAGATCATTTGAATCATATAAGACATTGTCTTTGATTTACTTCTGATATCAAACATTGAAGTATACAAGACGTACAAAGATTTGCGTACTAAAGAAAATTAAACATTTCCAGCGCGATTAAATAAAATCAAGTGACTTTTTTCGTGACGTTATTCGTAAATACTCCTGAAAGCTACAACTTTCGAATCCAATACAAAAAACATTTCTTATGTAAAATTTCGAATAAACAAAAGATACAACATCATGCTGAATTATTTCTCTTATTTAAATGCCTCTCCTCTTACTTTATAAATATTTATATAACGCGTTTTGAAACATTAGAGACATTAGACTGACATATTGTGATTGTGAGAAATTCTAAAATTGTGTCAGTTTTATTAGTTAACGTTTTATCAAAATCTTTGATGAACTAGGAACGAGTTGCTTTGAAGATACATATTTTATTACTTAAGATTTTTCAAAAATTTCATGCAAGTATTTATATAGTAAAAGAAGGACATCTGGATAAGGAAAATAGTGCACTGAAAACCCTTGCATTTTATTTTTCAAAACTTGATATAAAGGATTTGTCATGTATCACGATCCGAAAGTTATAGTTTTCAGGAGTATTGATGATAAACTGTATCAACAAAAACTTATAAGTATCCTCTATGATTAGAAAATAGCCACCTGTTTTAATTTGACCGCAATGCAAATAGATAGTTTTATTTATCGTAGGCCACTTCTCGAGCTCACTCTATATAGATATTTACAAAAAGAATTCTTCCTTTAATTTCTAATGGTAATGAAGAAAATTAAGTGAGAAGTTTTTTTTAATATTGAAAGCTTTTTAAATTTTAATTCAGAAAGACTATATCTCTTAGGAGTAAATTCTTCGAAACACTTCTTATCTCAATGAGACTAAAGAATAATCTAAAAGAACTCGTACTTATGGATTCGCTCAAGCAATCACAATTGCTCCTTGAAAACATTTGCTTCGCAGACAGTTGCTCCCATAGCGCTGTCTTTTCTACAATTCGTAGTTAGAATTACAAACTATCAAAAATCGATCAGAAAAATACTAAAGTTATATATAGATCTTTTCCTTCTTGTCCTAACCTCAATCTTCGACCTGACAATTTCCTTCCCTCTTGCCATCAGCCGTCCAATATCAGTAGAGCAAATGTCTCAGAAACATTTGTCTAAGATGAAACGATCATGTCACTAGACTGTTTATCCTGTTGATATTATCATCAATTTATTAAGATTCAAGTTAAGACTAAGATATTCAGAAAAAGATCGAATAAAAGAATTTTAACTTAGTGTAGTAACAGTCTTCTAACATTTGCATTTTATTTTTCTCTAGGGCTTCGCGAATATGCTATAACATCAGCAATAAATGATAGTCGTTTTTCTCCAATATCTCGTGATGAATATCCATCATTATCATGTGCTGTATCAATTCTAACACAATTTGAACCATGTTCATCTTATTTGGATTGGACAATTGGTCTTCATGGTATACGTATTGAATTTCTTAATGAACGTGGTTCAAAACGTTCAGCAACATATTTACCTGAAGTTGCTCATGAACAAGGTTGGAATCATATTCAAACAGTTGATTCATTATTACGTAAAGGTGGTTATAAAGCACCAATAACATCTGAAATGAGAAAAAGTATACAAGTAACACGATATAGAAGTGAAAAATTAACATTACATTATAATGATTATATACAATCAAAAACAGCTCCATCAATAGCAACAACAACATATTCATATACAACAAAAACAACATTTCTAACAAACCGTCCGAAATAAGACATTTCTTTTTTTGTTTCTTTTCTTTTGTTTTTCTAAGTTGTGTGGTGCTTGTATTTCCGAAGTATACTCAGGATTATATCTTTTTTCTTCTTTTGCTCTATATAACCAACAACTTGTATATTCTATTATGTATTAGTGACAGTTGATATCATACTTGAGTATTGCTTTTAGAATGTCAAATGTTATGATTGACGATGAATCAAGTCGTTTAAAACATTTTATATGGGAAGAACTAGATGAAAATTTTTTTATTGCAGTGATATTTCGGTGTGTGAATATTTTTTCTTTTCTTTTACTTTATTTTCTTTTCATTTGAGAAAATAAAAGTTTCTTTTGTTCTTCTTATATTTATAGTTCAGGTCGTCGTTATTTTGTTCAACGACATTTTGAACAACAATTATTTGATATAAAATCATCATTAATTCAAAATAAATGGCGACGTTGTTTATTAGAAGTTATTTCAAATTCTGTATCACCTATTTATATAACATTAAATGAAGTACAATTAATGCATGAGATATTTTCTTGGCATTTAAATTATTCTAATAATTATATAAAATTACGTGAAAATATTGATTATATTATTGATTTTGAAGATTTAATTGATAGTTTTAATTCAATATTATTAGATGATAACAATAATAATAATACAAAATCATTTATTATAGAACCAGTTACAACATTAGATGCTGCTAGAAAAAATATTGAAATGTGGAAAAATTTACAAGAAAATATTATTGAAAATAATACAAATCAGACTATAGACAAAAGAGTTAAAAGAAAAAGAACAAGAACACCGAGTAAGATTGTATGTCATTTTTCAGTAAAACAGTTCAATATATTTGATCTGCAGTAGTCAATCAATTGAATTTGAGGTTTTTCGGAATGTCAATGATACATTCGATAGAGTCTGTTAAATCAAAATTTAGATTGGACCCAACGGGCTCTATTATCAGATTTCTGATGATAATCAAATAGAGATAATCTAATAAAAAAAAAAGTATTTCTTTAGTTTTTTTATATTTTGTACAACAGATGAAAGCTTCTTTCTGCAATAAAAAGATAACTCGATCAAATGTATGATCTAAATCGTTTGTTATCTTAGATCAGAATACATATTCGATAAGTTCAACTTTCAAGATACTTATATTTTTTTACAACGGAAGAAATCAAAGTTCAAGCGTTTGTCATTCTTTCTAATTGTAAGAGTATCAGTAAATATTATAAGTCTTAAAAACTGAAGAATTGCTATGCTCCGTTTTTCGTTTGGCATGTTTTATGATACTAATAAAGTAACATGTCTCTTAGCAATTGAAAGAGAACAAAACTTTATTAAAGATAATCTCAAGTTTCTTATCTATATATATATATACATAGCAAGCATGAGAACATGAGTTAATAAAATCGTCCTTTTTTTTGGTTTTGAAGGCCACGTAACAAAAAAGTTTGTATATCTTCACCATCGTTTAATCGATTTCTTTTTGTTTAAAAAAGAAATGCTCTAAATTTTATTTGATAAAATAATATTGTATATATACTGTTCAAAAGTGTTATCCTTCTCAATCATACAAAATGTTTGGTTTAATTTTTTCAAAATACCACTGCAAATATTATGAACTATTTCTATACTTTGAATTGAATTTATTTTTCAATCTGTTCTCCAGGTTATTACTATCTTCAGTAGTCACCATGAAATTTTTTTTGAGAAATACAGAAATATTTATCTTCCTAGAAAATAACTTTCTTATCGAGACTTTTTTTTGTAAACATATATAAAAATAATTTTTTAACAGTTCAAGGTAATAATTATAATGTTGCTTGACTGTTTTATCTACAAAAAACCTATGAAACAATTATTTACTTGTTTAACATTCCACAACACACACTGATCTTAGCAGAATTTCTGACGATCTCGATGATGATAAATGGATTAATTATTGATCGAAATGGACAATTATATTTGTTCACAATACCGGAAATAGAAAAGCTCAATTAATTCAAAAAAAAAAATGTTATTGGCATTTGTTTGATCTTCAACCATGAATATTAAACATTCTGATAGTTTAACATGTAAATGCATATTTTTATTATGGTATAATTACTGAGTATAATGCATGATATATGTTGTGGACCAAATAATATATCGATGTGCTTAAGTCTTGAAAATGTTCATTTGTCGAGCAATATTGCTAACTTTTTTTTTTTACTAGTTTCATGTAAACAACCGGTTGAATTTTTTGAATTGAAATTTCTGTTATTGTTAATGATCTTCCTAAATGATTAATTTCTTGAATTAAATTAACATCAAGATATTTTTCATAGGATAATGTATTTATTATACCTTTTTGAAATTTTCACTGATTCTTGATCTAGTAATTCACGGATGATGATCACTCGACTAGAGCCCATCGGATTGGTTTCGGATCCGACAGACTCTAATCATTTAAGAAATATATAAGGTGTACTAGTCATCGAAAATAAAAATCTATCCCGTATTTTCTAGGCAACTAACCAATTCTGATTAGAAAATTTCATTGCTATTATCAAAATAGAATTCAACCGGTTTCTAAAATTTTGGATTCTATGGCTCTACACTAAAAATTGAAATTTGGCAATTAAAATAATGATTGGAATTGTAAGACACCTGATTGATGTTAAGTTAAAATAGAACTTAGAACGTTTGTTTTTGAAATTAAAAAAATAAACGAATTTGGTTAAGACAATGGTGGTGATATACAATCATTTGATATTTTTCATAGCCGTCTTTCGGAATATTTCTTTGACTAAGCATAAAATCTCGATAACTAAGTTCAATTTGCTAGTTATGTAAGTATTTGACTATCGGGTTGTATTAGAACTGAAGAATAAGTATGAATATAGAAACTCTAAAGTTTATTAGCTAAGATTATCTTTCAGATTCTTTTTTCAAGAACAATACTATTGAAAGTATTATTACTATTCTTAGGATAATTTAATAATAGGTTTGTCAATAGAAAATATTCATGAAGATGAAGTCTTTTCCCAAGCGAATATTGCCATCGGTGAATTAGAGTTAATTAATCGAGAAAATACAAAAGGATTTTTATGTAATTTCAAAATTTCTTTACTTCACACATTACTTTCGTATTTTACAATGAAAACAATTTCATTTTATTTTGATTTAATTTGCAAATCCTTAAAGGACTATATTGCATGTTTTTATGACATTTTTGGTCGTTATTAATAATAATGAAATTTTAATCTATAATCTGCTTGAATTAACTTCTTATGTTAATATGGTTTTGGAGTTATTTTAGTAGATGGGAATAAGCTTTTAAGCCCTTTCATCAATAAAATTTAGATCTATCTTCCAAAATCATATTCCTTCTCATTTATCTTCTTGCTTTATATATGAGCTATTTTAGACTGATCGGGACATATTCGTCTTTCATTTGACTTTGATCCTGTAGAAGAATTATTTTTCTGTATTAGTTTTTTCAACATAGACAAATGCAAAAAGTATTGACTGTTTTAGTTGACTGTTAATTTAAAAGTAATTAGCGACTATCTCTCTAATCATAAGAGAAAAATCTTTCGAAAACTTCAGAATAGACTCTATGGCATGAACCACATCTATGGTAAAATCTTCAGCAAGATTATAGCCTCATGAGTGGTCTAAAGAACGTACTATTTGGTTTTCAACAATGTTGTCTCAGTTCGAAGTTGCTTTAAGACTAAAATATATATAGTGAAAGTCGATGCTCTTCTTTGTCGCACGTCATTTACGCTAGGGTTTTTTTTACTGATAACTTCTCCAAACAAAAGTCTTTCGTGATGATTTTTTCAGCGTATCTAGAATTATTTAACACATATGCAATACATAAAAATTAGATTTAAGAAAGTTCATTAATCATAGGGACACGTGTTTCAATTTTACAATGTCATGTCGTTAGCAAATGGTTTTGCACATATATCAATATGGAATTAAATCATTTCGTCTTAATAGTTACTAAATTATGCTCAAGTGTGTGTCTTTTAAGACCATCAGGATTTCGTGGAGGCTGATCACAAGTTATGTGTCAGAGTTGATTGACTTTGACGAGGAACTGCATTTTTTTTGAATCGATGAGTAAAAGACCATTAAAAACTGAGTTATAGAAAAAAAGATAGTTTTTCCAGATTGGAAGACACTAGAGTCCGTTAGCTGCACAATTTTCGAACCCGAACATGGCCAAAGTATACTTTGATAAACTCAATAAAATTTTCTAATCGAGATTGAATAGTTGTCCCGAAGATACACGACACTTGTTTCCAATTTTTCTGTATTCGGTGACTATGGTACTCTGCACATTTCTCACAGGATCAGAGAGACCATCGACTCGAAAATTTTCAGACTCGAACCCAACTGATTCTATAGCTCACCTCTTATTATGTTGACTAGTTAATTCACAAAACATTGTTGTCTATTGAACTTTCAATGATACAAATTCTATATTTTAATTCTTTACTAGGCATTTCAAATTTTAAAAAGAACTAACTAATTATTCCCGACATATATATGCATCCATTTAGTTTTTATTATTATCAATATCTAACGACAAATGATAGATTTATTTTAATAATATAAACATCTTAATGAATCCAATAAGTTTCTAATTTTGTAATTAATTTTAGTACTAAATACTCCAACTATTACGCCTACTTCTACTAACTCATCATTGCAATTCGATCAATCTTCACTAACTGGATGGATTCAATTAGATTCTAAAATAGTACCATTTATAAAAAAACAATGTGATCGTCTACTTCCAGTTGAATATCTTTTAAAAGAACATGTAATAAGTTCATCAGAAGATTTTTCTTTACGTTCATTATATATACCAATAAATGAAGATGATATTCATATATTTAAAAATTTAATTCGTCAATCATCATCATCATCATCAAAATTTGTATTAACAAATTATTCATCATTAATTACACTTGATCATTTAATATTTCGTTTAAAACGTTTATTTTTTATTCGATTTCTTTCATCATCAATAAATATTGATTATATTGATTATAATCAAGTTATGTCATATAATGGTGGTTTATTAACATTAACTAATAATAAAAAACAACATATACCATTTATTTATATCAATAAAGAAAAATATATTCCACAAATAGATCATATGAATTTTTCATTTATATCTACGTTTTGTATGGCAAATAAATATGAATTAGAATTTTTACGTTTAATAGCATTATATGATTATTTATCATCCGATGAAAATAATGATAATCTTATTAGTTTATTAGCAATTAATAATTTAACATTAATACCAATCGATTGTTATTACGAAGAAAAACTTATAAAAGTAATGTCTTTAAATGATTTTCATTATAATGAATATCAAAGACGATTTAAACAACAAAAGTCTCTTATTCATTTTGAAGATAATCAACAATTATCAAGTGGATGGTGGCAACCTCCTGCGTCATCATCAAAACAAAAACCTCTATCACATATTAAATTACAACGACCTATTTTATTTTAATATATGATAAAATTCACTTGTTTTGTCCTTCTAGTCTGATATGTATTTTCGCTTTTTTTTCCAGTCTAATTCGCGGTTTTTTGTATATGTATATATATACACACACAGAGTCTTCTAATTTGAAAACAATTCGAATAAAAAAAAAGTAAAAGCAAAAAAAGAAATAGAAACTAAATAAATTACATAAACAATGTGTATAAAAATATTGCGACACACATTAACAACAATTTCAAAGATGTAAGCAATGAAATCAATCAAAATTTTTCATAGTCAATGCTCTATAGGTCTTAGTTGTAAAGTCATTGACACTATTAAAACTTATGCTAATACGCAATTATAACAATTATGAAGTAGTAGAAAACGTAATCCCATCCGTACGAGTACAATCTCACGAGACAATTTTGTCGTCATCATATTTATTTTCTTCTCTTCCACATACTTGATCTATTTGATATATGCGAATATTTGTCATAATTGTATTGAAATTTTTGATTTCATAGACTTACAGAGAACAGGAGTTACACATGTTTCGATAGTTCTCTTAAGGAAATCGTCGACCGAGATAAAAGTCTTTAACATGATGGAATTACTTCCGTTATTAATGAAAAGGTTTGCTAACATCTTTTTAGTTTGTATTTTCTACGTACATGTTGTCTGTATGTTAGAAAAACAAGTGAATCATAGGCTAAGATGTTTTTCGATACGTATCCTGTTTCGATGTTATTGTTGTTTTGAACAGTCTGTTAGGCTCAACATGAATGATTCAAATATTAATAGCAATACATATCGTGTTGCATAAAGAGAAAAACAAAGACATTTTTATCTTGACTTTTTGTTTCTTTATCTACAAACTTACTCATAAAAAAATATTTATCAGGATTTGTAATAAGAGTAGCATGTGCAACATTTTTATGATAAAATCGTATACACATTTAAAGAGTATACAAGAATTCCTAGGACTGCTTTAAAAATTCGTCGTTCTTAGATTCAGCAATATGAAAGGTTTTGCAAGTCAAGAAGAAAATTGTACCTATCAAGTACTAAATCAAAATACAAAGTTTCACATCTATAACTTTTACTATGTATGAAAACCGATAAAAATACTATAATATGAAAATTTTGTCGATTGTCAAAATAAAGACAAACATATCAAGTTATCAATGTTCGTGTGTTTGATGACTATTATGATAGATTACTAATTTAAATTAAGTTGACAGTGTCTATCAATCATCGAAATAAAGACATACTGGAGTTTTCTATGTTTCTTAATGATGTTTTTCAGTAGCCCACTGTTATTATATTCTTGCAATTGTAATTTTTTCTTCTAATACATCAGAAATGTTGTCTCGAGGTCGAAGATTGGCTTCATTTTGTATCAGAATTTTCTTATGTTGACTATGTTGATAAAAACACGTTTGACAGTATCAAAAGCCGCGTACATCCTTTGTTATTTTTGACATTGAGCCACTTGAAAAATTAGATTTTGTAAATCATCTTATTCTTGAGCCATTGTTTTTGCTAAATTAATTTAAATGATTTTTGCATACTTTTTACGAGTAACGATAGTTTTCATGCGTCGATCATTACCTTGACAGTATTGAAGAAAGGTTTTTGAATTTCACTGTTATGACTCTATTGAACAAGAACCGTTACCACAAATTCATCATATTCATCGAGTCTCAAAGTGTTACAAATACGGACAAAGAAATTCCATTTCAATTCATGTAGTTTTTCAATGTCTTTCAAAAACAAGTCTAGAACACAAGTGGTAAAGTTTTTTTCCCAAAATTCGATAGAAAACCTTCGCTCATCAGAGTATTTAGACTCTCCTTTATCATAATTCAATATCTGGTCACAAGTATATTTAAAGTAGTACTGTCTACATAATGAAAATTTCAATTAATCGATACTTAATTTTGTTATATACGTAGATTTAATCATTTCGTGCATATTTCGTATAATCATTATATTCATGAAAAAAGTTGTAAATAGAAAAAATCTTCTTTGTTTCTGTTTCGGAGGCAAATTCATATAAACAAAAAAAAAAGCAATACTAGACGTAATTTTATACAAATTTAACATTTGATAAAAAAAAAGGAAAAAAAATTACATCTTCTCTTATTATTATAATCGACGTAAATCTAATTTTAATATTCGTGTAAATGTTTTTTTAAATTGTTGATTAGCTAATGCATAGCAAAATGGATTGATTGGTGAATTAAGATAGCAAAGAAAATAAAAACAATGAAACATCGGGTTTGAAAATATCCAATTATTTTTACAAGATTCGCATAATGAATGTATTGCTGAATAGATGTGCCTTTAAATAAAAAAAATATCATATGCGGAAAAAGACGAGCGAAAATGATTATTTACCATGGAGTCCAACAAACTACAAAAGCTCCTGAAAAGAAAAATTTTAAATTTGATTAGATTGTTTTGAAGCACAGATGATATAAATGTGTAATGGAAAATTCACACTCTTTTATCTCTTTGATACATTCTTATTGATGAAAGTAAACATGCTTTTTTAACTTCTCGATAAAATTTCCTGATTCAACATCAATCACTAGTCACATCGAGTCATGAAAAAAGTACGACAGAACTTAGACTACATGTATCTGTTTCATGTTTAGTTCAAAGCAATGAAAAATACATTATTCATATTTTTTGTCGAATCCTAATTCTTACATAACATCGAGACTACGTTACCTGCCAGTAGTGATATAGGAGAACAACGTTATTTATCTAGCCTTGACTATCGATATCATTTGCGAACAGTAAAGTTCAAAGATATGCAGGATAAAGGTTAGAAATTATTCTCAGTCACAGTACAAACTACAAAAAAAGATCACTCTGCACATCTTTAGTCAAGTTAGAGCATCAAAAACTTTGTATTATTAAAGTATGATATACTAGTGAACAAATCATTTACGACTAATACGTCTAACAACTATTTTATTTAGCATGAAAAAAAAAAGAGATCGAGATTTTAGTTCAAGATTTTTAGTCATTGTATCATCTCTTCAATACCGTATGTACTATAAGATGACTTACAGTCTATCCTCATACTTTTTTAAGACTACTTAGGACGTGTTTCAATAGAAGGATTTTATGTACTGATTGATCTAACTGTCCGTGAATACACGCTATCTTGATTACGAACGATAGTAAAGACATGAGGTATTTCTTTCTTTTAAACTTAGAAAATAGAATATGTAAAGAGCCTTGATACATTTTATCGTCTATCAGTTGAATAGTTAAAGAATTATTGAACATACCAAGAATAAATGTAATTGTTCTTAGAGCTTTTCTAGCTCTATTTTGTGATTTAGATTTTCTTCGATGAATTGATTTTTGAGTATGTATTAGATCTTTAATACTTGATTTAGCTGAATTCGAACTAGTTGTGCCTATCATTGTTCCTTCTGTAGCCAAAGATGGTCGTCCACTTTTAATATCATTTCCATTTTCAACTTGTTTATGAGTAGTATCCAAATAATTTATTTGACCTTTTACATCAATTTGTGCCATAACACTCTGATCTTTTGTTTTTGGTGATGATGGAATAGAGTTTCGTGTTACAAAACTTTCAAATGTTACTTTTGATGGAATTCGATTATTTAATAATAATGGATCAGTTTCATGTAGAAATGTATCAGAATGATGTTTTTTTAATATTGGAGAACGTTCAACATTTTTTAAATCTTCACTAATTTTTCGTTTATCTGATCTAAAGAAAAAAAACAGGAAAGGAAAATAGAATATTTTCCTGTTGTTTTTTGAAATAAAATAATCATTACCCTCCATAAAGTGTACTTGCTGTTAATGTGGTTGTTGTTGTTGTAATGGCATCTGAATCTGATGATGTATTACATTTATTGTCAATAGCTGTTAACAGATGTTGTGGTATTTGTTTATCTTGTGATGATGATGATGAACTAGGCCAACTATTTCGTGATAATTTTTCATTTAAATTAAATTGTTGAAAAATTTTATCAACAGAAAAATCTTGACTATATGTATTCAAGCTAATACTATTTGTTAATGTTTGTTCATCACTTGTTGTATCAAGATTTGTTTTATTTAATATCATCATTTTCATTAAATTATTATTACATTGATAATTATATTCATCATCAATAAATGCTGATGAATATCGTTCATTAAGATATAATAATGATGATGTGTTTTGATTTATTTCTTTATAATTTGATAATAAATCACTTTCACTATTTGTTAAATTATCATCAGTATCATTTATTTGACAACGTTGATAAAAATCAATTAATGCACGTTCAACATCAGCATGTCGATTTGTTGAAGATGATAATTCGAGGGATACTGATGCTTGAGGTAATGGAGTTTTAGCTTTGGAAACAAAAATTATAGATGATGTTTTATTATTATCAGTTGATGAGATTGGTAGTGAGCCTGACTGCGATCCCGTTTTAAGGAAAATTTCACGTGGTACATGACGTAAACTATGATGCCGTATTGGTATATTTTCACAGGACGGATTTGAATTTGTACAAGCATAAGTTATCAATTCAACACTTTCAAATATTGGAGATTCAAGTATTACTTTATGAGCATCTTGATGATTACCATAGATTTCATAAATTTTATTACCATTATTATTAGTAGTAGTCGTAGTAGTCGTAGTAGTAGCAGATAGAGATGCTAAAGAAGATTTTGATCGATCTTTATGTTTTAAATAAAATGGAGATTTATAAACAATAGTTTCTTCATAAACTTGTTCGTTGGAATCATTTGATGGAACGCAACGACGATGTAGAATGTAACCTTCAAAGAAGAATAATTAAAAAATAATTTTTATAAATATATCTTCAACGTCTTATATTATGACTCATTATTTTAGAGTCAAAAAAGAAAATAATAAATGAAATACAACTATAAAAAATTTGAAATTGATCCCTATTGAAATCGATTCATTTTAAGAATTATTCCATGTTTTATTGAACATAATCTATACAAAT